CAAGGACGCTACTAGGGGCTCCTGGCCATACTACTAGTAACAAGGACGCTACTAGTACATCATTTCTTTTTGTTCAGCCTGCTGGCCCGCTCCTACTTAATTCAGTAAGGGAGTAAGCTACTTGCCACTTAAGCCACTACATCTGGATCCAGAAGCTACTAGGAACAAGAAGCTACCAGGGGCTCCTGGCATTGCTACTAGGAGCAAGGACGCTACTAGGGGCTCCTGGCCTTGCTACTAGGAACACAAAGCTACTTAGGAGCAAAGGGCATCGCTGGCGAATTTCTTGCCCTCGCAGGTGGAGCCGGAAGAGCCAAAAGAGCAGACCGTTTCGCTGGCGAAGCTTGAAGCCTTGGTTGAAACCCAAAGAAGAAAGAAAAAGATAAGAAAAGAAACCTAATGGCAATGGCCTCCAACCTAATAGCATCCTTTTTGCATTTCATGTGGTCGACAAAGAGCTCTTTAAGGCAATTCTTCGAGGTCAAAAGAATCAAATTGCCAATTTGCTGTCATCGCAAGTTTGCCAAGTGTTTGCCCTATTCACGGGCGATGCCGAGTGCATCTCTCAAGGTTGGTAGTATAGCTGGGTCACCCACCGAGAGTGTGTGTGTGTGTAAAAAGAGACGATGTATACTGTATCCATTGGGTGAGTGCTCTTCCACTCCAGCCGCTCTATTTGTCAATGCATACATGCGTTCCTGATCGTTGATAAGAAGACGTTCTTCACCTCACCTTTTAAAGGTTTCTGTATCGATAGCAGCATGTGAGAACATGTGAACAAGCTTCTTTTCTATTTGTCTACCTTTTTGTTTTCTCAAACAAACTCAATAGTGATGGCCTTTGCTCCTAATAGCTTCTTGCTCCTCGTAGCGATGCCCTTTGTTTTCGGCTCCAGTCGGCTCACGTTGTTTGAGCGCTTTTCGATTGTGCTCTGCGGGTCGTGCCATCACAGCGGTCTTGGACATCCGAGGTTGGTGTTTCTCTTAGTCCGTGATGAGAATACCCATTCAGTATTTGTCACGCTAAAGAAAGAACAGTGTGTCGTTCTTTGTCTTTCTTCGCGCTCAGCTGGGCAACCCACAATTGTGCTTATTCCTGCTGTCTTGACAGACAGGAAGGAAGGAAGGAAGGAAGGACTCAGAAATGAATTGAGGCTGTCCTCCAGTGGTGATGCTGCTCATTTTTCATTGCGCTTTTCTTCTCTTTTTGCCACCGATTTCACCTTGAAACAGATCCCGGCTGAATGATGACATGTTTGAGGTTGTGTTCATTCCAGAAATAAACGATCAATAGCTTTTGCTATCATTTTGTGCGTCGGTCTTCAACATTGGCTTTCATGCCTAATCCATTTTATTTAGAAGCGATGCCTTTGCTCCTATTAGTGTCTTTGTTCCTAAGAACAAGATGTGATGCCGCGTGAGCTCACCTTTTGGGGCACCACAAATTTGAACCAACTGTTCCAGCGTAGACCCCAAACAGGAAAAGACATACGGCTGTGCAGCTTGAACATGGCCAAGCCTCTCTCTGTGAAGACATGTCACGTCGTAAAAGCAATGAAAAAGTGACAAAGAGAAGAAGACAAGGTCTGAAGGTAGAGAGGAAAATCTGATAAAGAAATGTCAAAAAGGGGGCAAGGACGCTACGAACGGGGCTCCTGGCCTTACTACTAGGAGCGATCGGACGCTACGATCGGGGCTGCTGGCCTTACTACGAACGGAGCAAGAAGCTATTAGCTTATTGTGTCTACTAGCTTCTTGTTACTACTA